TATATATATATACAAGTACATGTATTACAGCGACTGGATTATTTTGTTCGTTTTTGTTTTTTTAAAGTACTACATCGACTATAGTGGGTTCAAAAATGCATAGGGCGGGAACTTATTGTCAAATATCTCCTTAACTATGGAATATAGATTCTCCAACTTTTGCGCTTGACTTTTATCAATTTTGTCCACGTGAATATTTTTTTCAAACTCCTGCACACTGCATTCTAGAAAATTCCTTAATAAATACTTTTTTTAAAAATCTCCGTCAGTGGTTTTCATAGATTTTTAAAAAGTTACAGCTCGAGCAATATCGCTTTTTAAAGCAAATCTGTAATTTTTTTTCTAATCGCAACATTATGCTTATTGAACATAATTTGGTTAGGGAACCGTTAGTGCAAAAGAAGTGTTCTCTATAAAATTAATTTCTTGTAACAAGTTTTGCCACTAAAAAGTGTCATTGGTGAGCTGTGACGTAAGCAATCGTATGAAAAATGTTTGTGATAAGCGGGAAGTGCTGTGAACAGTTCCATTTTCCGCGTGATGGAGATTTATACATGTAGTACTTCATATAAATTTATGAGGAAAATTTTTTTAATCGAGCCTCAGTTGTTGGGGAATAATGTGATTAAGTTAAGACAAATTGATACAAACTGATGTGCAAAGTATGGGTGACATTGATTCTCCCGTCAAAGAGATATTATTTGAGGATAAGTTGCGCCACGAATGTTTGATTTCACTACAGACTAACTTGCTTTTTGCTTCTGAATAAGTATTACACCGGCTACATTATTTTGCATGTTGGTTTTGAATAAGTATTGCACCGACTAGAAGTATCAGTATTTATTGGTTCAATAAAACGCTTTGCTGTTCCATTTGTTTGTATACGTTGTTACAGCTCATTTCAAATCACCATACGCAAATCAGAAATAAGAATTGGCATATTTATTAAAGGTATACTTGTTGCTATTTAAGAAAGAAGAATTGAAGAATCTATTTGTACACTGAAGTTCTTCTTAAAATAAATATTATTTATATATATATTTTATAAATATATATATAATTTTTTTTAACAAATTGAAAAGCTGCAACTAAGCGCATCTTCAATGAATTAAAACCGTCTTTAAAATAAATATTTCTTACAGCTTTAAAGTTAAACACCCATGCTTGTGAAAAGACAAAGAAAAGACTCCAAAGAAACGGTAAAAGTAAACATATGTATTTATTTCATGATTCATGGAATGGACAACTGAAATGGGCATAACATAATAAATTAAACGATAGTAAAAAAATAATAATATTTATTATGACTTAAATATTAATGGGAAACAACTCGGTAGGCCTTAAACTTTGATGATGGATTTTCCGATGTTAGCTCCCTTGAACAAATCGATGAAGGCTTGGGCCATGTTTTCGAAACCGTTTGTGATTGTCTCTCTGGGCTGGAGTTTTTTCTGAAATAACAAAACGAGGATTGTTGAGGGATCTGAATCATTCATTTATTCATTCATTCTTCCATTCATTCATTCATTCGTTCGTTCGTTCGTTCGTTTATTCATTCATTCTTCCTTTTTGTTGATGTTGTTCCAGTGTCCCTTTTTCGGAGATTGTTGAGGGTTCCAGGGCTTTTCATCCATTCATCCATTCATTCATTTATTCATTCATTCATTCATTCATTCATTCATTCATGCATTCATTCATTCATTCATTCATTCATTCATTCATTCATCCATTCATTCATTCATTCATTCTTTTGTACTGAATTCGTGTCCCATATTAATGACCTTGCTCGTATCAGACAATGCTTTTGTTCTGAAAACGTGAGTAAGTAAATAATGTGTTTAATAATTATATTTTAGGACTCTCACTTTTCAAAAGAGAGAACCCTATCTATCTATCTATCTATCTATCTTACTATCTATCTATCTATCTATGTGTATCTATCTATCTATCTATCTATCTATCTATCTATCTATCTATCTATCTATCTATCTATCTATCTAACAGTACAACTCACCTGCTGTACAAGAGAGATGATTTCTTTCCTCACTCGGGGGAACTCGTCCAGGTGGTTGAAGATGAAGAAGCCTCTCACCTGTGCCTCAGCGAACAGAATCCTGCCGAATGGGTTGGGAACTGGGAACAGAGGAGGAAACAACATGAAGGGAAGTGTGTGTGTGTGGGTGCGGGGGGGGCGGATAATATGTGTGTGGGGGGGT